CAACAATTGTTAGTTGCAGATAGAATGAAATGAACTCCTTTAAGAATAGATTGTTATTTGCTTTCTAAGTTTGGTTTTTCAGCCTACTATTTGGTTAGATCTCTATCGATTGCATTTAGATTGAAGACTCCATTTGAGGTATGACTTGGTTGCTTTGTTGATTTCGTTTAGAGATTATTTGGTTGTTCTGCATGTGCTCATGTGAATAATGGTAAGCTTATGCGAAGGACAAGAACGTGACTATTCTTAGGGATTTGAGTTTGTGATGAACGGTAGTGTTTCTGGTTTTTTGGGCCAAAGTCACCAAGATTGGTAATTAGCAGAGCTAATGATTCTGATGATATCTTATATGAAGAAACGAGTTAGTAGTTGCAGATAAAAATCTCGGTGTTCATAAGCAGGTGGAGCTTGACAAGTTGGTTTGTTTTGTGTGACAAGAACGATGATCAAATCGGTCAACATTTAGAAATTCAAGTGCCACTTGAACATATTGGTGTTACATATTGTGATTAACCTTGTGGGGTTTTGGAGGAGATAGCGAAGGAGTTCTATTATTTTGAGCTCGGCTTAATTTTCACCAAGGTAGAGATTGTTGAGTGTGGATTTCAATTAAGCCTGTCAATTAATTGTAGGGCCAAGGCCCTTAGTTTTGCTTATCACCAGGCGGTGCTTTCAGTTACCCTGGGCATGTAAATATATCATATGTATGTGTTTTAGATATAGCAGCCCTGTGACTATTTTCATTGATACAGAACTTTTCTCTCTTTTGTTTTTCTTTTAGTGTAGGAACGTTTGATCATAGAATTTTTTCTTTGACAATTAGAGTTCTTACTTTTGAGTTAAAGATTTGGGAGTATTTTGGATTTTAGTGGTGTGAGATATTTGTTAGATTTTTGTAATCTCTTTTTACTTATAGTGAAATTTTCTCGCCGTTTCTACCCGTAGACGTAGGTCAAAAGCCGAACCACGTTGAGTCCTCGTGTCTTCTAAATTTTTTCTGTCATTCATATTCTATCAGAAATTTATTTAATTTGATGTTTGGCACAACATATAGATATAAAGCTCCATTGCATCAAGACATTCTATCTATGGGAAGAGTGAAAGTGCAGGATGGTTTCAACTCAAAAAATGGTTTAGACATGGTGGCTTAAGCTCTGATTATGCTTTTCCCTGTGGATGTAGGTGGTAAACATTGAACCACTTTAATCTTCCTGTGTTACTGTTTTGTTCAAGTTCTTTTCTGTGTGATTGTCATTTTGATTGTTTGAGAGGAAAGTGACTGTGAGGATTATTTCAATCTATGGCTAGTTCTTTAATTAGGGAATTTTATAACACTTACCATATAGTAATTCCATAAATAACAAATCTATCACAATGCAATGTGATTGGTACCCGTAGTTGTTGAATATGTCGTTTTTCTTATTAAGTGTTGCTTTAGTGGGTATTGAAGGGAATAAAATAATGATTTATTCAAATTTCATTCTTTTGTTAAGCATTGAAATCAATATTAAAATCACAATTATTATGTGTCTGTTTAGTTCGTTAGTTTAAATTGTGTTGATTTGAGTTTTTTTCATTTGAACAAAAAAATCTGAACAGTGTGGTTTAAATAGTAGTTCGAATTGATGTTTAGATGTGCAGTATAATTTTTAAACCAAACAGGGAATAATATCTTAATAGTATTTGGATGTCTAAGAGCAATTGATTTGAATTGGGTTTTTTTTCCCTAATTGATAAATTCTTCTTTTCTGAAGTTGATAATGATAAAAAAATTTCATAGCAAAATGAAATTAAAACTGATCAAAAGTATATTAAAGGAAATAAAAATGAAGAAAATATAGTTAAAAAAAATTTATGAACGTTTTTTAAATAATTATTTGGATAGTTAAAAAAAAATTTATGAACGTTTTTTAAATAATTATTTGGAACACACTAACAGCGGCTAATTAGTAACAAAAGAAAAAAGAAAAAGAAAAAAAAAAAGATGGCAAGGTAATACTATACACGCTGAACAATGGGCAAAAAATAGCAAATTAGAGAAAAACAAACTGGAAAACATATATGTAATAATACGTGGAGGAAGAAGACAAGAATCTGTATTGTGGGGGTGTTCGACGGTTAAAAACCGTCGGTTTTGGTCGGTTCGGTGGCCGAACCGACTGTGTCAATTTTTAGAAACCGGAAACCAAAACCGAACCGCAAAAATTACTATTCGGTTCGGTAAACCGAATTTCAGTTTTCAGTCGGTTTCGGTCGGTTTTCAGTTTTAGTAATCTGAATTGTGACTATCAGTTAACTATCAGGTTACCCGCATATTTAATTGCATTTTTTGACCAGAAATTATAAAAAAATGTAAAACATTCCTTGTATGCAAGCATGTAATCACAATAAATGAATACAAAGCACAATATCCAAATTGATAATACTACAAACACAAAATATTCAAATCCAATGTCCAAAATCTAAAATACAAACTAGAAATTTGAAAGTTACAACAAACAATATTAATGTTCAAAGTGTAAAAAACATTAAATTGGCATAAGAAATTAAGAAGTCCAAAGCATAATTAAAAAGCATAGTGAAGTTCATTTCCAATTTCTCATAAACCTCTTCTTCCCCTTCATCCGAATCCAAATCCAAATCCATTATATCTTCAAATGTATCGTTACAATAGAAAATTAGAATTAAGTAAATGAAATTGAATAGATAATGAAATATAACCCCACCATTGTCCACCAGTACTGTACGCCTATGTTTCATAGCTATGTTTCATATGCGTGAGATCAAAGCTATTGAAATATAACCCCACGTCCCCATCATTGTCCACCAGTAGTAAATCCAATCCAGCCTCAAACAAATTCTCAAGGTTAACACTAACATAAACATTACCACCAGCCCCACCATTGGCCAATACGTTATCGGGTATACATAATTTCATAGGAGTACATAATCGAAAAATTTTACAATGGAAAGGATAATATAAAACAAAGGCGAAAAGGAAATGGGTTCACGAGATAGAGAGACCAAAAACCTAAGTCGCAAGCCAAAGAAAAAAAAAAGAACTATACATCAAATCATCAATTGTAGGTGGAAGTAATCATACCGACAATTAGCAACATAGAAATATAGAGAATAGAAGCTTACCATGGTTGATTATAGAAATCTAGCATCTCCTCTCCAGCAACAAGCTTCAATTCTTTACTCTGCCGGAGACTGACTAAAACCAAGAAAGAAAGCCCGCGACAGGAGATAGAGTTTGTGAGAGACGAGATTGTGAGCTGAAAGACGAGAGAAGCAATCAAGTTATCAACGTATTTGGCTAGGGTTTTTTTTTTTTTGCCCCAAATCTGAGAGAGTGAGATAGAGTTAGAGAGAGTCAGAGAGATTGTGAGAGACAATGAGGGTGAGTAAATGAGATGAGAGAAGAATGAGAGACTGAAGTGAAAAAACGATGAGAAATGTAAAAAACGACATTATTAAAATTTTTTTACAGAATTAGTACGGTCGGTTCGGTTTATAACCGAATCTTAAAAGGCTCAACCGAAACCGAACCGCAATGGAGGAATCCGGTTTGGTTATCCAAACTGACTTTGTCGGTTACACGTGGCGCCTTATTTTTCAATTTTGGAGCGGTCGGTTTCGGTTTTACGGTTTTTTTGTACAGCCCTAGACACCACGGTCAAAAGTGAAGAGGGGAGAACAGGGAATCTCAACTGTGGGAGTCAAATTACTGTCGAAATAAATTATCCCAAAAAAATTACTGTAGAAATAAGTTTGAAAAGTGAAACTAAGAGAGGGGGTCTAAAACTCATTCAGTAGTTCCATTTAAGATGGGCTGCCTATTTAATTTGAATTAAATGTTTGTTTCATATATTTATCTCTGATTCTGAACCATGATTCATAATTCTCTACAGTATTTTTCTCTCATAAAAAACACACGTAAAATGAAAATAATTCTAAATCATGATTCTAAATCTATAAACCAAACGTCCACTTAATTCGGCAGTTCCGTTTAAGATGGGTTGCCCATTTAATTTGAATTAAATGTCTAACCAAACACACTTGAATTGTGAATCCGCTCGAACTGAGCTGAACAGGTCTAAACCAACGTACAAAGACCCAATATGTTTGTTTAGACATTAGAATAGAATGGAATAGTATAAATTTTTACTAAACTACCCCTTTCATTTTATTCATTAATAATGTATTTAAGCTAACTTTAAATATTTTCAAGTTATTTTTTACCTTGATGTTTAAAGTGAATATTTTATTTGATATATAACCAGTATTCAAATAATTTTAATTTTGATATATGTATCACTGGTCAAGAGCTCCAAAAACCATAAGAATTAAGAATTTGCTTAAACTGTAGCTATCTTGTCCATCATCATTAGGACTTTTGGCCTTCAGTGATCACAAATACTTAATCACTTATGATTATAGAGATCATAACAAGGATCTTAGGTTTAAACGTTTTAATGTGTTGGATCATCTACTAGAGGTAAGCACAGAGCATACTAGTTAGGAGGAGAACTATTATAACATAGAGAAAGAAATTTAGAATTTCAAAGAAGAAGATCAGTGATTAACAACTCGTTATAGATAAATACATAATATTATTCTTCAGAAATGTGTACAAAGTTCTCTGCCTCTAGCAGGCTGAGAGCTTTGCCTTTTATAGCTGAAGCTTAATTACAGACTTTTTACAAGAGATGAGGTTCATGATTACGAGATAGGATTCTTATCTAGAAAAGACAAACACCATTATTACAAGATAAGGCTTACATCTAAAGGATAGATGTACATGTCGACATATTTTACCAAGTGCATGCCAGCTGGGGAGGATAGGGGTCTTAGCTACTGTTTTGGTCAGGAGATAAGTTCGAGTTTTCCCAATCTGATTAGTCAAAATTCACTGAACCACAAAGATGATAGTACTAAGGCTTCTGTCGTTTGTTGAGTGATGAGTCATCTTCTAGGTGCTGTGAATCTTGGAATAGTTGAGGTTTTGATGTGAAAGTTTCTGTGTCTATAGGTAAGCTACAATTACTTACAGTGAAGATGTTGTACTGTCCATAGACTTCAATGAGTGGATCTATTGCAGAACTGGCACATGTATGTGGAATAGCCTTTGGCTTGTATCTATTTTCTCTACACAGATATTTGATGAGATCTTTTTTGACTTCTTCGAATGATCTAGGATAGTCAAAACTAGTGTACCATGGATAGACAATGTTTTGTGTGTACAATGTCTGGGTTTTTGAGCTGATCAGGTATGGCTGATGTATGATGAAAATTGTGTGCACTTGTTGAACTTCTGCTGAAGAGAATGTCCAAACTCTGTGTTTCTGAAGGAGTCTTGATGTTTCTTCTCTCCACCACATGAGTGGGGAGAACATTTTCAAGAGTTTCCATAAAGGAGATCCTTCATTGTTGTGGTCATGAAGTTGTATATAGAACTGCATGAGTGGACAGTTGAGAGCAATTTAATATAAGACTGTTTGGCACCATAAGTACCAGATATCATCTTCTGTGATTAGGCTGAAAGGATGGAGATTGTAAGTGGCCAAATACGGTTGGTCTATGTTGTATAGATCATTAGTTTGGGGGTTATGGGTTCCATTACAGATGTTGGTCAGGTAATAAAAGAGATGGGTTTTGGCATAAAATTGGATCTGGTCAGGTCTAAGTGAATTGCCTAGATCAGGAGGAAAACAATGTCCATTTTCTACTGGAACACATAATGGTGTGTTTGTTGCCATGAGGATTAGTGGAAAGGTTTTACATGAGGTGATGATTTGAACTGGTTTGGGTCGAGTCAGTAGGTCAGAGATGAGATTGTGATGGCCTTTTTATATGCTTAACAAAAAAGTCATATCTTACAAACCAGTTTTTGAGTCTGAGCAATTACAGGTCAGGAAAGGTCATGAATTGTTTATGCAGACCTTAAAATTATAACCCTCAATCAAATTTTTGAATTTCATACTTTATCGCAAAAATCTCCTTGTATATAGTGTAATAGTATTTTTCTGATCCTTGAACTGACCACTGGCATGTCCACAGTAATGCTTCTTGCTTTTAATTTCTTCAATGAGAATGCCCCCCAATAATGATCACTTGCGCCTATTTGCAGAACTCTTTTTCCCTTGCTTGGAATCTTTAAAGGAGGAGGTGACTGAGCTACTTTCTTCAGGGCTATGATAACGTCTGTCTGTTCTTTTTCCCACTGAGGAGGATTCTTTTTTAGCATATTTGACAGCTGGCTAGTGTGTTCAGACACGCGAAGGATAAAGTCTCTGAGATAATTGACGATTCCTAAAAATTGTTGAATCTGCTTTATAGTAAGGTGTTTATCTGGAAACGTCAATAGTTCTTGAGCTACGTGTGGGCCAGGTTGAAACTTTTCTTAAGATATTTACATCCCTAAAAATTCAATTTGAGTTTGTCTAATTTGACTCTTCTTTTCGGATAGCATGATGCCATATTGGTCCACAATCTGGTAGAATTAGGCCAATAAAACTTTATGGGCCTCTGCTTCTTTTGAAAACAATAAGATATCATTAATGTAGATCAAGGCACAGTACAGGATGGGCTCAAATATTTGAGTCATTGTTCCTTGGAACAGAGATGGAGCCGTCTTGTGGCCAAAAGGCAAAACTCGCTAGTACTTAGCATCTGGAATGCAGATTGTTGTTTTAGGCCTATCTTTTGGATCAATTCACAGTTGCCAAAATGCTCCCTTGAGATCAAATTTTGAGAAGACCTAAGCATCTTTCAGATGAGTGAATAGAGAGCTGGTTTTTGGAATTGGAAAATGTCATCTTTTAAGAAAAAACTCAAATGCTTGTAATCAATCACCAACATTTTCTTTCCATGGACTTGTTTTGATCTCTTTTCTACATAGAATGCTTGGCAAGCCCAATCAGACTTAGTGGGTTCGATCAATCCTTGTTGGAGGAATTGTGAGCATTCTTTTCAGGCTAAGGCTAGATCAAATGGAGTCATGCTTGGGTGAGTAGCCTTAGTTGGATTGATGTCTTCATTCTTTTTAAAGGGCAACTATATGAAGAACTTCTGATTTTTTTTCATAGAGAATTGGGATGTTGAAACTGATCATGACTGTCAGCACAGAATTTCAGAAGCTTATCTTAAATTTTCTCATAATCAATTGGAGCTTCTTTAATTGAGAACATCTTTGGAATGGTTGAATAAAGCTTAAATTGCCTTTTGTACTTCAATCCTGTAGGAAGGATCTGAAGGTTTTTTGCTTGGTAGTAAACATCCATTCCAACGAGAAGATCCTTGTCCGGCAACCTGTTACCAAGAATTTGTGTCCATATAATACATCCAGGAAAGAACTTGATGCCAACTTTTGAATTGGTAATCAATTCTGCCTTGAATACTTGATCATCAGCAACCTTGAAGTATTCTATATGAGGAGTCTAAAAATCACGGGGAATGATTTTTGGATTCATCATTGTTCTACTGGCACCTATATCCATGTATTCGACTAAGTTGACTAGATTGTCATATTTTGAAGTAAGGATTTGAACTTCAACATTTGGCGTAGGAGGAGTTGGAACAATTAGGGAAAATTGTTCCATCTTGTAGAATGGAATGTGATAGTCTGCTCCTTCCTCTGTATCATCAAGGCTGAAATCATCTTGATCTGATTCTGGGATGGCAAAAACAGTTTCCACATCTAGCTCTTCTTGTTCTGAGAATAGGGATTCTAGATCAATATCTTTCTTGCTTCGATCCACTGAGTTAGTTTGCAGCTGTTGGATAATCCTAACTGATTTGGCAGATTTCTTAGGACAATTTTTTAAAAAGTGTTGTTTTTCTCCGCAGTTAAAATAACGGTCCGACTTTAGTCTACAACGTCTTTTCTTTCTAAAAAACCTGTATTTCTTCCCATCCTTTTTGATTATTTTTGGTCCGTGAGAGCATTTTGGAGGGCCACAAAAACACCTATTTTCTTTGCATTTGATATGTATATATAGTTTTTTGCATGCCTTCTTGAACTTGGATCTTTCTTTCATCATGGAGGAAAATAATTCTTGAGTTTCACAAAGCTTGTTTAGAGCTGCTAATACCAATTGATGAATTTCCCTTATGGAGATATCTTTCAGTTCTCTCTTGGTTGCAAGCAAAGACTGTTGGAGTTATGGCTATAATTCTTAAGGAATGGAGGCCATGTATACTTGGCGAAGGTTGGGATCATTGAATCCGTTGAGCGGGTAATATCACCGAGACATTCTTTGAAAATGAAATTCAATGTCTTTCCTTTTTAAAGAACAACATTTCATCTCAAAGTATTCTTGACGCATCTGCTTGTCTATCAAGTTATAGTCTCCAATGAATTCCTGGTATATGAGTCTAAGAATTCCTGTCGCACTATCTTCCTTGATAAATTGAAGTTGTCTATATCCTCCGAGACTTTAGAACCAATCTCTGAGAGTACCAGTAAAATCTGGAGGAAAATTCTTTAAGGACAGCTTCTAATTCTGCTCCAGGCTTTAACACCTGCAAATCGATCCATGCTCCGAATTCATTGATTTTGTCTCTCCATTGGTTTGGAGAAACTTTGTCAAAACTAAACCAGGGACCAGCTATTGGCTTAGAGAAAGCATTCTCTTATCGTTGTTGTGCATCAGGGGATTCTTCTATTATATGAGAACATGGCCCTTCCATTTCTTCACAGGTCTGTTGTTCATTTGACCCCGTAGAGGTAGCCATTAGTAGCTGTGTAATGTCTATGGTTTCTCCTGATTCTTCCGAATCCTCAGAGCTTTCTACTGTTTCAAATGATTCCGAATCTGATTCTAAATGTTCTGAAACCTCTTTTAATCCTGAAGAGAGTACCATGTGAGCTGGGGAATATTCTAAGTTTTCCCCCTTTTCTTTTGTAGTAGGTTTGGTCTTTTGTGGAGGTGGCTCATCTTCTTCCGCTGATAAACTCATTTTGGAAGTTTTATGTGTTGAAGAAGTTGGCTTTGCTGAAGTAGTTGGTTTTGACCAAGTCGGGTCTCTGTAGACTTCATGAGTCATTTTGAAGATCTTTCATTAGTCGGGCTGAGTTGGGTATGAGTATGAAGGAAAGAATGAAGGTCTAAAGGGAGGAAGTTGTTAAGAAGGAGGATCGAACATTCTCATTTATCTTTTATCGAAGTCTTCATCAATCTGTTTGAGCTAAGCCTTTAGCCTCTAGATCTATGCTTCTTTTATGTCAAATTCTAGTCCAAAGTACCTCTGGTTGATGAGGTTCTTTAAATCAGAATCTAACTGTTTGATTTTTGACTGGAGGCTATTTTAGAGTCTCCGAACATCATCGCTGAGGCTGTCAAGCTTCTTGTCAGTGAGATTGGACTAGCTATAACCCTGTCAACCTTTGTTTCAATCTTTTGTAAGACCTGGTTTTGGGCTCTGGCATTTTGAGTTTGTCAGTTCAGAACTTTTTCTGCCTGGGATGGAGGTTTTGGTTTCCCATCTGGCAGTATTTCTGTTGGCTGAACAAATGGCTGAGAAACCACCTTGGTTGTCTGATCTATCTATCTTTCAAGAACTGGAAAATCTTGATCATATGATGAAAACATCATACATGGTGCCACATCTGAAGTGGATGAATCCTCATGTTTGTTTTTGACAACCCATGGACTATCTGGATGATACTGTCTTCTGGTTGTTTGAGGCTTGCAAACTCCTTTCTTCTTTCTTCTTCTACTGCTTGGACGATCATCTTCTTCATCGTCTTCATGGTGCATCCAACAATCGCAGTCTGGATCACACATAGAGGGATCACAATCCCATATGAAATGACCATCAATCTTATTGGTGTAGATCTTAGACCCGTCTGTTTTGAAACTATTGACAAGGATGTCTTCTTGTGTCGACACTGGCCTAATCATCAAGGATTGGAAGACTTCTGGTGTTTTATTGGGACCTTTATCAATATGTTTGAAGACAGTTTTTATCTTTCCGTCTTCAAATTGAATTAAGGTTGGATCAGACGTTTGGATGGGTTTGTGGTTCTGATGTAACTTTTCGTAGTTAGTGAACCATTCTAAGGGCATGAGCTTTGTCATCTCTTCTCGGGAGAGTTGTCTACGAATCTGCAAAATAGTTGGCACTTCATTTTCTCTTTTTGTTGTAATAAGCAAAGTATCTGGGACATGGCCTGGAACCGGGAGGTCAAGTGTATGGTTCTGAATTCTATAGATTGATGGAATGTGGCTATGCATGAGGATGGATTTTTTGCACCAGAAATTTGGAGTTAAACTTTAAGACATGTGGACAAGTGTGGGTCCTTAAGTAGGATATTGAAGTTTGAAAAAAAGGATAATAGGATGCTACCAGCATGGAGTGTGGACAAAGTGGTTCCTATTACTGCATGTTCGTACTTAGTATATCTAGTATCTATGAGTGCTAAGTGAATAGTGACAGGTAATCCTTTCCTACCATGGAGGGTTAGGATGAGCCTGATTGCTCCGAAATAGAGATGAGTATGGCCTTCAACAGCCTATCGAGAAATGAGCTCCTTTGGAATTTCAAGATCGATGTACTGTTCTTGAGTGGTGCTGGGAACAAAACACTTATTCAACCTGGAAAACTTAATGTATTCTTTTATGACAAGTCTGGTATTGGTGATAAGTTGTCTAATATTACGACGGTGTCTCCTAAAAACATTATATGGATTTAATAAAGAAGGGATTGACTCTTGAACTATGGTAGTTTCAGGGATGTAAGAGTATTCTACTAGGTTTTCTATTTTGCGGGCAAGGGATTTTTTTACAGGGGTTAGGAATAGTAATGGATGAGGATAGCCTGGCTGGTTCTAAAAGCGGGGATGTTTTCTGGGTTGTAGTCATGTGTGTGTGGTTTCCTCTCTTACTCTTCTTCATTCCTCACCTCTATATCATAATATTCTCCTGCTTCACAAAACTCTTATGAAGTCGTCGAGCCACCATTTTGACTCTGATACCATCACTCAACAAACGACATAAGCCTTAGTACTATCATCTTTGTGGTTCAGTAGATTCTGACTCATCAGATTGGGAAAACTTAAACTTATCTCCTGACCAATACAGTAGATAAGACCCTATCCTCTCCTGCTGGCATGCACTTTGTAAAATATGTCGACATGTACATCTATCCTTTAGGTTTAAGCCTTATCTTGTAATAATGGTGTTTGTCTTTTCTAGATAAGAATCCTATCTCGTAATCATGAACCTCATCTCTTGTAAAAAGTCTGTAACTAAGCTTCGGCTATAAAAGGCGAAGCTCTCAGCTTGCTAGAGGCAGAGAACCTTGTACACATTTCTGAAGAATAATATTATATGTATTTCTCTATAATGAATTTCTATCACTAATCTTCTTCTCTGAAATTTTAAATTTCTTTCTCTATGTTATAATAGTTCTGCTCCTAACTAGTATGCTCTGTGCTTGCCTCTAGTAAAGGATCCAGCACATCAGAACGTTTAAGTCTAAGATTCTTGCTATGATCTCCATAATCATAAGTGATTAAGTATTTGTGATCACTGAAGGCCAAAAGTCCTAATGATGATGGACAAGATGGCTACAGTTTAAGCAGATTCTTAATTCTTATGGTTTTTGGAGCTCGGTCAATGATGGTATCGACAAAATAGAAAAACAAAAATATTCTAACATAAAAGGTCTAAAATATATTCTGCATAATTAAATCGACAAATAGTAAAACATAAACCAAATACTTAAATATGTCTCTTCAAATTTATTGTCGTCAGCAAAAACTAGAGGAAAAGAGTATTTATACTAAATTTTTTAATATTGGGAGGGATAATTTAGAGAGAGAATTTTAACAATTTGATGGGGAATTGTTATTCTTAAGTTTTTTTGCCCAACTAAACATAAGAATGAATGGATTTTAGGAATTGTCATTTTATTTCATTAGTCATTCCATCAAACCAAACGTACCCTTAGTTGTTAAAGATGTCGTTTTTCTTATTAAGTGTTGTTTTAGTGGGTATAAAAGGGAAGTTGAGGGACTGAGTGGAAGGGGTATTGTTTTACTGAGGACAACAGAGCGTGGGAAGCCAAGATACGGAGAGTAACACCACTGATGGAGATCACAGTACTAGTTTCTATTATTATGTCAGGCGCAAATACAGAAACTAGGATATTATCTTTTTTATTATTATTATATTTAGTTTTTGGTAACTAGTATATTTTCTTAAGTTAATTTCCTATTATGTTTTGTTTTCCCGATTGTACTTAGTTTCCTAATTGCGTTTAGTTTTCAATTAATATTTGAATTACCTATCTATAAATAGGCCTAGTATTGATCATTATATTTTTCAAGAACTTATTGATTGATAATACAATTATTCAGATTTCCTCTCTCTAAACTTGTTCTCTCTCTCTCTCTAAATTCTCCTTTTCTTTCTCTCTTCTTCTCTTTCTTCTTCTTCTCTCTCTTTTCCTTATTCTGTCCCACATCAACCACTGTTTTAGGGTTCTTGATTGGTGATTGTAATTTTGTGATTGTTCTCAATAGGATTTGCACGCTTCAGTTCAATTTCTCAATATTTGTGCTTGGTATCCTAACACAATGAGTTTCAGAAAGGTTGAAAAATATATCAATGAACTCATTAGTTGCGACTTTAAATGGAACTTGGACAGAAGTGTTATGAATTAATGTAGCAACAGTCAACTGATTACCTAGAACAGTCTTGAGATCAGGCAAAATTACTCCATAACTCCTTTACCCTTGTCCTTGAGCAATTGATCAACAGGTCCTTCTGATGTTTTTTTATCTGAAGATGACGAGGTATTGAGGACGCAATGTCTTATTGCTTGCCTGAATTCCTCCTCATCATGCTGATAAAGAAGACGGAAAGCACACCGCTGCACGCATAAACCTCGCTTGTCGCTTCGAAAGGAAGCCTCCATGACTCTGCACTCGTTTAGTGGATATGGTGCTAGACGAAGTGCTTCGTCAAACCACTGTCTCGGTAAAAAGGATAACCACATTAATCCTCCGTGATATAACATACTCAAGTCTTCCTGGGTTGTTTGATGGTAATGAGGAGGTTCAATACTGCCCCTCTCAGTTCCAAACTGACAAGTTAGAGTAATATGAGCAACAGTTTCTGCATCTGAATTGCTGTCAATATATGTAGTCTCCAGGTCCGAAAAGTAAGCACACATAGTGAAACCTAACCAATTATTTTCATGACTTATATCTGGCGGTAGATGGATCTTCCCAGAAGAATTGAAGCTGTACTGATCGCGGAACCACTCTTGAATTTCAACAGCAAGGAAACATGAGTTGTATATTGAGTTTTGATGGAATTCCTGGAAGAAAATATTTCAACATGATATTGATCAGCCTGATAAACATTGATGAGAGAGAGAGAGAGAGAGAGAGACCTCATTTGATGTTTGATGAAATGTGGATTGATAACTAGTATTTTCATTAAGATCTCTAGAGCTAGAACTGTTTTCCGAATCATTTGCATATAGTGTAGTATTCTGCTCATCAGTAATCCCAAAGCTAGTTTCATCCAAAGTGTCAAAGATTGAGGTTGAACATTCACGCATTGCACGCCTAAAGTCTTTCACATCTTGATGGTACAATAGGCGGATTCCACACATATTCACTATCAATCCAGGACAGGAACTAAAAATTCTGGCCTGTAAATTCCTTCGTTGATTCAACTCTGTAAGAAACTCACGAGGTAAGTACGTTAGCCAGATGAATCCCCGGACATGTAACCACTTATATCTGTCTTTGGTTACAGAGAAACACGGGACAGGATTCAAACAATTCCTATCGGCTGACAAGTGACACAGAAGGTCCACATACGTTTCTGAAAATGCATTTGGATGCTCATTGACAAGAAAAGAAGCACATACAGCAAGTCCCGCCCAACTGCTATCATCATACAGATGTGGAGGTAGTTCAATTGCCATTCTGGACTTGCTACTCCGATCTAGGAACCACTCTAGAATTTCCTTTTGAGGGAAACAAAAATTGTACACTTGCATAGGATCAAAGTAATTTGAAACAGAAATCAGATTTCCTCCTACACTAAGCGTGATAAACAAGCCATTATCCATGGAAAATTTTTCAAACACAAACTTCAGCTTATGTTTCCATCTATCCGCTGAGTTCCTTCCAAAGCGTAGAACCATATCAGGCATTATGTGGAAATGACAGAAACTTAAATTATCTAAATGATAATTCATATCCCTTTGTTGCAAAATGTTCAAAACAAACGCCTCAGAATGGGCTAACATTGGCCCAAGTTCAGGAGAAATCCTGTTATGTGTACGATAGAACCTATATTTCTCCAATGTAGTAGAGACGTCTTTAGCCAAAGGGTCCGTACTTGTTAGCAGCTTCTGCAAGGATTGAAGAAGCGACCTATAAACATAAAGAGCACTTGTGTTAATTAAGCTGGGGTAATCAAATCGAATTTTGTAAAATGATTAAAGAAAGAAAATTTGCTGTCATAGAATTTAACCATTCGCTTCTGAATACACCAGCGGGTTCTTTATGAGTTTCATCTTTGCGAAGGAACTCTTCGGCCTCCTGAACATATAATTTAGCTCTGTCGTGGAGGAGTTGAAGGAGAGATGGTTCCACTGATGCCAAGGAAATCATCTCCTGGATGAATGATTCCGAATCTTTCTCATATAGTAACCTAGTCCCACATAATAAAACGCTAAAGTCTATCTTCACATTTTCAGCTGGAGCAGCAGGTCTAAACAGAACACTAATACCCTGGCATTGATTCAACTGCTTTGGGAAGGACTCACGGGGTATATGAGATACAACTAAAAAGGACTGAACAAAACCAAGTATGGTCAAGGAATATGTTAGGATGGGTAATGGTATTCCGCCGTTATTGGTTCCATGGACATACAAATCAACAAAAAGCAAGGAAGAATTTTCTGATGGATCAGGCCTTTCACATATAGCATAAACATCAAGTCCTACCCATCTCTCGTTATCATATAAACTTGGAGGAAGATAACAAATTGTTGTGTCCCCTACACAATGATGTGAGAACCAGTATGAAAGCGTTACACGAGGAAAGACAAAAGAAAATCGGTTGTGCGCAGAACGGCCCTGTGTAATATGTAAAAGCATCAAAAATTTGTGTGAGAGTGGCAGAGACTGAGAGAACCTTTTTTTCTTGCTTTAAAAGAAAACAAGAACTGAAAGAGAGGGAACAAGAGACAGAGAACTAATAACCTCAAAGAGCCTTGAAAGCAATGTGTATGTATCTCTTCTCATCTGGATGGAGCAGTCATCAACGGAGTCCTTCGAACTTGAGTTTGGGTCGTTAGTTGTCAAAGTTTGGTCTACATCATCTTGTTGTGGCTCTGATGAAGTATAATCCTGAGCCATGCTGGATTTTTTATAGTTGCCATGTTCTCTTAGTTCTCTTGCTGCATCTAACAATTTCTTACAATGTATGAATTTCGAATCCAAATTTTGAAACTCAGTAAAAGTTTCGGAAAGTTTTTGGCTAAACTCTTGCACATCTTGCTCAAATATTATATGCAACCCACACATTTTTATCTTCATATCTTGTCTCTCTGTTAAAACTAAAGCTCCAAAAACACTACTTGCTTCATTCAAATATTTTTTGTTGAACCTTCCACGAGGACGGTAGCAACAAACGCCATATGATCCAGCCCCAGGCACTTTAAAGTTGGGCAATAATGAAAGTTTCTCCCCTTCATCAGTGTGAAAAAGACAGGCAGTCTTTTGTTGTTCCGAATCTTGGTGAATGTCATTCTGCTCCTTAATTTCTAAAGCAAAGAAAAGAGCAAATCCTTTCCTCATACCAAAATTATCTTCTGGGGATAACTTGATCGTTATGGAAGAACCTTTACTACTCCATTTGCTACACCACTCAGGATTACTTCTAGCTGGATAAGGAAAAATAATGTCGAATGGTCTTCCATGTTTAATTTGATCCTGCAAAAATAAATAAATAAATAAATAAAACAAAGAAGGCTTTTATTCTTATATATTTATTAGAGAGAGAGGGAGAGAGAGAGAGAGACCTCAACATATTTTGGAAAGAGCAGATCAACATATTCTTCCGGCATAATTGGCCCATCATCATCAAAACTCAATGATGTTCTGCAATCTATGAAATGGAGTCCTTTGTCCGAAATAAATACTTCCACGTCATGATAATGCGAAAGCTCATTATTCAACTTAGGACAATTTCGTGCATATAAATACTTGAGACTTAATGGAAGAGGATTTGGCAACCAAAGAAGCTCGCCGCAATCGGATAAGTCAAGTTCCATTAGCTTGGAAAGTTGAGAGAAGCTTGCGGGTATAGTCCTAAAGTTGTTTCCACTCAGGTATAAATACTGCAGTGAGGATAAACAGCCAATATCATTAGGTATAGCTCCTTCTTCTAGATGACATTGGCTCAGATCTAAAGATACCAGAGATGTTAAGCCTGCAAATGAACTAGGCAACTGCAAGTTAATTAATTGGGAGTAGTGTTGATCTGTTGGCAACAAACAACAACAAATGAGTGATTTCCATGATCTGTGGTGCGTTACAGATGAAACGTCGTTGTTACTTCCTCGGAATGATACGTATTTAAGGTTCTCTAGGCATTGAACTGAGGAAGGAACTTTCCTTAGAGCAGTTCCATTTGCATATAACTCTTCCAACTCTTTCAAGCTTCCTAGGTTTTCTGGTAGTTGATCAATCCTAGAGCAACCAGAGAGACGGAGAGTTCTAAGAGCTGTCAAACTGCAAAGTTCATTACTTGGAAGGCTTGAAAGGTTTTTGCAGTTGCTTAAGTCTAACAGAGTAAGTCCAATCAAGCGATTTATTGAAACTGGAAGCTCCCATATAGCTGTACCGTCCAAGTAAAGTTGGGACAAATTTTTCATATCTTCCACTATCTCCGGAAATTTATTCAGATTCCAACATCCCGAAAGAATAAACGTCTTAAGAGATGTCAAGCTGATTTTGTCAGGAAGCTTCTCAAGACATTTACAGCCATTCAGATTCAATAAAACAAGATTTCTAAGAACTCCGATTGATGGGTGAACCTCTTTTAACTTTCCACAACCGTCAAGGATTAGAATCTCAAGATTTGGGGCCTTAGTGAAATCTGGAGTATTGGTCAAGTAATAACAATCGCTAAGATCAATCGATATCAACATTCCTAGACGCTGTCAGAAGTAAATAGAAAAAAATATATATTATTGATCTTATATAGTTCAGTAAGAAATGATAAACATGTTAATTAATAGCCCTGAGTCATGCTTGAGAAAATTTAAGTTAGAAGAACAAGAAGGATTTTTAGGCCTCGGGTAGAGAGAGATTGAGACAGTTTAGAGTGAAAAATTCTTAGATTTATTAGTTACTAGTTTGAAAATACATAAATAATAATAAAGATCAGCAAGTAAATTATATCTTACTATAGTTTCCGACTTCCACAGTTGTTCAATGCGGCTGTTAGGCATGCTGAGTTCAACGAGCTTATCAAGTTGAAAATTTGATGGCAATGATTTTAGAGGACATCCATGCCATTCTAGAAGCCGTAAACTTTTGGGGAGAAAATATTCTTGGCATCCCACAACTTTGATATTGCAAATCTTCAGAAATCGAAGATTTTTCAACTCTAAGAATGCATCATAATTCAAGTGCACCTCTTTTTCTTTCCCAAGCAACGTTTTGAAATACCGCCGCTCCGCTCCTCCGGCTGACTACACAAGAGGATGTAGCTTTCTTGTATAAGTGGGTTACATAAAATTGTTAAAGTTTTGATCCTTTGGAAGACCATACCAAATATGTTACGAGTGACAAAATTATTATAATTTTGTAAGGATTTGAGCTGATGACCTTTTGATGTTAATTTACCGATTCATATAAAAATCGTAAAGTATTATACTGTGATACAAGGAAACTAAGTCATTTTGAGTTCCATATTCCACTAAGTTGTACGCAACTTATCAATTTTTTGTCTTTTGAAATTACTTATTCAATGTTTAAAGGCCTACTTTTAAGCGTTTTTACATCTTTAGCTTTAAAAAGCTTTTATGTTTTTGAATTTGTTTATGTAATAGCTAAATAAAAATATAATAATTTTTAAAGAAAAGTTGAAACCGTGAATTCCCTCTTGATTGGCTCAATCGCCGGTTCCATTTCCTTAGAAACTGACATAACGAATAGCACTAATCTTTCCCCATCAATTTTAAACTTATAAAGAACACTTTGATGAGTTTACTATTTCTTTGTTCCTTTTAGATCACGTACCTGCTCTGACGGTGACAAGTGGCGTTGGAAAATCCTAACCGGTGTATTATTTTTGAGCTCTGAGAACAGGTCGGCATTGAAGAGCATTTCTTCTTTTTCTTGAGAATCTAGGAATATACCCTGAACAGCGTTTGTTCCCTGAATATACAAAATAAGTTACTTCCTTCGTTAAAATATGGATAACGTAGCAAAAATCTTAACTATTTACTTCCTTCGTTTGACAACTCACGTATAATACAACGGTTAATATAAAAAAGTGATTCTATGTGTACATTAATTGCAATATATATGCACGCACTAAATATGCAGCATATAAAAAGCATGAATTTGTCGTCAAATAGTACCTTGTTTTCTCCAAGCCAAAAAAAAAAAAAAAGGTACCTTATTTTCAGTAAGAACGTGATAGGAATCCTTGTGAAGCCACAGCCTGCTACATTTTCCAGGATCTTCCAGAGATTCTTCTCGAACAATTTCCCATCCCATTTGCTGTAGTAAATCATGCATCCATAATTTTCCTCCTTCATCAAATATTAAAGACTTTTCATTGAGGACCCTTAAACCAATTGTGGGGTGGAACTTGCAACTGTCAAATATTTTCTTGACGCGAACAATGTCCTCTCCTTTGAAGAAACAAGCAATGTCCAAAAACATTTGCTTCTCTGTGTGCTCTAGTCCATCGTAACTCAGTCGAAGTGTTTTATAAATTTCGCTTTTAGGGTTCTCCCTTAGACGATTTATTGTGCCTAACCATTCATCTTTATCTCTTCCATACAAGAAGGAACCCAAAACTTCAAGTGCTAAAGGAAGTCCATTAGCATATTTTACCACATTCTTCGACATCTCATTATAGTCGTCATCTTCGGGGCAATCTTGGTTGAAGGCTTTCTGACTAAAGAGTTGAAGAGCTTCAACATCATTTAACTTTTCAACCTCAAATACAATGTTACCATAAATCTTCAACAAGTGTTTGTCTCGAGTCGTTACAATGATTCTACTTCCTGAACCAAACCATTTATGCTGACCACCTGCCCTACCAACTAAAGCTTCTAGTTGTTTCAATTGATCCACATCGTCTAGAACAACAAGAACCCTTTTAGAATGCAATGCTCTTTCTAACACATGATCCATTCCCATGTCATCCATTTGTATCTTTGCCTGGTTTTCGACCAATATATCGTAGAGACGGGTTTGTATACGAACTATACCATGTTTTTGGGATTCCTCTCTAACATTTGCAAGGAAACAACTTGCTTCAAATTGGTCATGGATCCTTTTGAAAACTTGTTTAGCTATAGTTGTCTTACCTATCCCTCCCGCTCCCCAAATCCCAATAGTGCGAACTTCATCTGACCCGATATCTAAATATGAATCCATTTTCGTTATGCGAGAATCTATTCCAACCAAGTCCTTGTTAACACTTGAGAATACGAGGTTCAATTTACTTAAAATAGTTTTAGCTATTTCCTGAATAACTTCAGACTCGTGCCTGCAAAACAAAACAACTCAAATACAGCTATAAATGTTGAAATATATAGACAAAAGAAAAAATCAGTGGTCTCAGATCCAAAGTATTTGCACCAATATTCCTTAAATTTACTATACGAAAAATTACACTGACACCCCCATAACTTTTGTCAATATTATAGTGACACCCCTTCAACCAACTGTACGTAATTACCAAGTCGTCCCCTAAATTATTAAAATTTTAAAAAATATCCAAAATCCCTTCTTTAAAGAAAAAACAAAACAAAACAAAAAGCGTGGAGTTTTTGAATTCCTTTATCCCTAATTTTACAAAAACAGATGTATATTTTTATCATATTAAAGTATCACGACATTTAAAATAATTTAATAGTCAAATGGATGTCATGGCAAAAAAAAAAATCAAAAATCAATAATCAAAAATCAATAATGGTATTCCATCCCATTGGATGAAATCTCCATCACTCACAAAATGGTGGATTCTACTTTACACACTTGGGGTCCACCTTGTGTGAGTGGTAGAGTGGTAGGATTTTAACTCCATAGAGATGAATAGGGTGTTAAAAAAATATTGATGAAAGAGTACTTGTGGTCGTAATATTGTAAGAAATAATACTCAAAAAACCTATGTGTCAAGCCGAAATACCCTGTTTGCCCTTTTTATTATACAAATACCCAAAACACCTCATGTGTTTATAAAATCATATCCAAAATAACATTTGAAGCAATTAAATTTTTGTCACACGAAGATTACCCTTCTCCACCTTTATTAAATACAATTTAAAACATTATCAAATCAAAATATTAAATAAAATAAATTTTTGATTTAAATAAAAATTAATCTTAAAAAATGAAAAACACTCAAAATAATTGAAGCATTTGTTTGATTAAAATATATTTTAAAATTTATTTAACTTTTCAATTAAATCATATCTAAAATAACATTTCATATAGATTGGGAAGGTTAATCTTGATATTTCAAAAAGTTAATTGCTTCAAGTGATATTTTGAGTAAGGTTTTATAAACACATAGAGTGTTTTGGGCAGTTGAATAATAAAAAAGACACAAATGGTATTTAAACAAAGTACAAGGAACATTTTATGTATGAAAAACCCTTTTTCATCCAAACAAGGATTTCTCCCCATTACTCACATTCAGTAGGGTCTGACCCTACTCAATGTGAGTAATGGGGAGAAATTCCCGTTTGGATGAAAAAACTAACTCATGTGTTCCTTTGTTCCTGTCCTTTTTCATGTCCCTCCAGTAATATTATAACACATCAATTAAAGATTCTTATCATGTCAATTAAAAAGGCATGACGTGGTATGTTATTATGGAAGGGACACGGAAAGGAACAGGAAAAAGGGGACATATGAACCCAATCTTGGAGGAGTAGCATTGCTCTTTAAGTATTTTCCCTATTAATAACATTAGGAGCCAGGAGGTGCCAAGTGTAACTTTATTTTTTCTTTTTTTTCTCTCTTTACTATGGCATATAGAAATAATGACAGAAGCAAAAGATCGATGGGTTTTTACCTGTTTGTCAAATCCCAACCGGAGACACTAGCTAAATCAGTTAAAGCTTTCCTCCACTTCTTTACCTTACCCATATTGTCTTTGAAGTCTTGTTCATGCTTCTCAAAGGCTGCCAAAAACTCCCCCTTTTGTTTCCTCACGTTGGACGGATCCACCCCGTGGAAAACCGGCAAGACTGTTTGCTCCATGCTTTTCTTGCATTCGGCAATCTTCTGGAGTTCATCCAAGCACCATGTGGAGGAAGCATAATCTCTCGAGAAAATAACGACTGCGAATCTCGATTCTTCGATCGATCTCAACAGCTCTGGAGCGATATCTTTTCCCCTCTCAAGCTTTTCATCATCCCTGAAGACATCAATCCCTTTTCGCTTCAAAGTATTGTATAAATGGTCCGTGAAACCCCTGCGAGTATCCTCCCCTCTGAAACTCAGGAAAACATCTCGTTTCCAGCGATGACTACTTGAGAGGAAGGAATTGGAGACGCTTGTGTTGCTCATTTCAGATGTCTAGTCTAGATAGTGTGTACTATTGACCACCAAGAAATCAATAAGAACTGGAGTTAGGCCGGTTTGGAATATAGTTTTCTGCTTTTACGTATGTTAAAGCATTAGATGAAGAGAAACAACTATTGTTTTGGGTAAAATATATGAAAAGGGGACTTTCTCTGGCAGAACTAGAAAAAATAAACTCTCGGTAGTTTTTTTTCTCAGCTACTAGATTTATATCAAAGACTGTATGATCTGCGTACCTTTTCAATCTAACGTGATTTTGACTTGATTCAACTCATAAAAACTGACATTACTAGAAGGACTATCCTACCAGAGCAACTCCCATAAAAAAAAAGAACTTATTTTTTTTATTTAAGATGAGTTTTTAACCTGTTAAAAGATAAGACGATAGCTTGGCAAACCATTGTCTTTTCAACCGTCGTTAAATGTTATCAACGGTTTATAAACGTCGTTAAAGCTGTTTAAAAAGTCATCTTATGCCGTTGTGACTTTAGACGACTGTTTTTGGAAAAGCCGTCATCTAAAGTAACATTTTACTACTTTAGATGACGGTTTTTGAAAAAGACATCGTCTAAAGTTTTTTTTTTTTTAAAGAAAAATGTTTTTGCTGCACTAAATGCATCATATTTAATATGTATAACAAGTTGAACAATAAGAAAAAAATGAACATAATATTTTTTTTGCTGGAAACAAAAAAAAAGGATCAAATATAATAAGAAGAATATTAACTTAACTTTACAACATAATAAAAAAAAAGGATCAATTTATAAAGAAATAAAAAAAGATCAAATAACCGGATACTCAAATATATGTTCTAACATAAAAAGAAGAAAAGGCCTCCAATCCACTTGTATACTCAAAATGATGATGTAATAAGAGATAGATATATAGTTTGCTTACCGTGTAAACAATAGTAGATTTTATAACCTTCTATCAAAAGTACACTCCTTGAGTACAGTATGTAGAGCATAATGTGTCCACCCTCTTCCTAATCTTCAGAATTAAATCTGTGTGAATGATACCCAACGACAAAAGCAATTAACCATACCTCACCTGAGAATCAGACAGAAGAAAATCCCAACCGAAGACAACATAATCCAAAATGCTCTTTGGGTATTTCACTCAAATAGAAGCCAAGAAGAAAAGCAACATTAATAAGTGCAAGAAGAAAAGCAAATATGGGGAATCCAAGAAAAAAATTTGTTTTAGGCGTTTTGTCAAACAACTTGTGTTCAGACCAATGAATTCATCATAAACTGGGTTTTGTAAAGCTCCAACACAAACACTTCGACTAACTCCAAAATTCTGTAACAACAAAACTCAATAGAAAATCAATAGAAGCTATTAATCCTATAAATTTCTCACATGGGAACTACAAACAGAATTTCCTGACAAGGACAGATTGTCCAAGCCGCTTAGAGATAGCAAATCTGCACATATAAACATTTCAACCACATAAATAAAAGAAGATTATAACTAATTGGACAAATGTAAACAATCTTGAAACTGAAAACCTCTTCAAAAATCATGCCGTCTTGAACACTATGGTAATCTTTATCGCCATCATAAGAATCAAACCAGGCCTCTTCAGCACTTCATGCCAATAGATGCCATTACATTGTACAAGATATGAGAAGTAAGGCCATTAAAATAAATTAATAAATAAGTAAAATTCAGGCACATTACTTGTCTTCTGAGAATGCTAATGTTTGGTAACAAAATACTGACAAAGCAAGACCAGTTTATCAGTGAGAGAGAATCTCTCAAAAGGATAATTCTTACAGTAATGAAAAAAGACAATTCTTTTCACAGAAAATCTTAAAAAAAAAAAAAAAAAAAAAAAAAAAAAAAAACAGAGAGAGAGAGAGAACATATTCAAATGAACCTCGCATACAAGTTTTAAAAATTAAAAATTTGGAAAAAAAAAAAAAAAAGACGGTAAAACACAGAAAATCTGCCCAAAAGCAAAGAGAATTTCAATCACACCCGACTATGATTCTAATAATTTGTTTAGGTGACGATAAGGTAATAGCTGAACAACAGAAAATCAATAGAGAATTAAGGCTTACTGCAACCAGTGCAATCGAAAAGTATCCCTTCTTCAAACAACGTGTTTTCCAGGGCCTCGTATAACCAAAAGAAGTGATAAATAATAAAGGGCATGTTGTTTTATTTAAAAAACTCAAAAAAAAAAATTTTTAATTTTAATTTTATTTAATTTTATGTTTTTTTAAGTTTTAATTTTATTTAATTTTATTTAACTTTATTCAAGTTACAACTTTAAATTAAATTATAAAAATTTAATTTAAAAATTACACTCAAGTTACACTCTAAAAAAATAACTCAAAATTCTGGTGCAGAGATGGAATTTGCAAATTTATGTCTTCATAGCATTATCACGATCAAAGTAGTTGGATTTGTGATCAGCAAATGATGACCACAAATTAATAATCCTTCGATGTCTACGGCCCCACTTGCGCAAGTTGTATAAATATATATACATATATATAAATATATATGTTTTTTTTAATCATTACATTTTTTGAATCGTTATTATTAAATATAAAAATTTAATTATATAAATTCAATTTTATTTATTATTATTAATTTTTTTAATTAATTATTTAATTTATTATAACCGTCAGATATTATTAATAAGTAAATATTTGAATAACTATTAATACTCATAATTAATAAAATGACTGAATAAGAAATTTTAAATGAAAATCTCTCAACTTACACTTTATTTTAACCCATCACACGGCCTCCCTCGTTAATGCAACGTTTGGTAGGAAGGAAGAAAAAGAGAGGCAAAGAAAATATATAAAGGAAAGAACATGTGAAAGGGAGAAAGATAGTTTGGTTTACCTTTATCCTGTTTGGTATGATAAAAAAAAGAAAATGAGTCTTTAATTAAATTATCATCTTTTTAATTATCTGATATTATTTTAGTTTTAAAATATGACAAAAATGTACTTTAACTAATTTAGACATGACATAATATTTTCTCTTCAAAAATCTATTTATCCTTTTTTTCTCATACTTTTCACACAAAAATAAAAAATAAAAAAGTCATTTTTTATTTTTCTCTCATTTTATATTAAATTAAAAAATTACTTTTATTTTTATTTTTTATTTTTAATTGTGCCAAACATTATTTTAAAATCATTTTCATTTTTTGTTCTTAAAAAACATGAAAAATAAAAACAAGAATAATTCTAAACACGACGTAAATATCACCCTCAAAACTAGGAAACTTTATTTTAGTCTTTTTCAATTTGTTAATAAAGTATATAAAAAGGTTGAGTTTTTTAAAAAATAAAAATCCTGACAATAAAAACTTAAGGTCAATATTTGCAATTTTCCTAATTTTTTATTCAAGGCTTACCAAATGAGCCAATAATGAGCACAATGATTTTTTCACCAAGAAAATTAAAGATCTTTGTCACTTTCTTTTTTCTTTTTTTTTTTTTTTTTGATTAGGAGCGGAAGAATTTGAATTTAGCACTTATGATGTCGGACAAACATAACACTTCAAAATTTTAAGTGGGATAAACCAAAAACTTAGTAAGGTTTTACATACAAAGTTTAAAGGAAAAAGAAAAACAAAAAAAGGTTTAGGTGAGAAGATCATCTACGCTCGATTGTATAGGACTCTTTCTTGATTTTCTGCAACTACAGACCAACTTTCACTCCACAAAAAGCTCAAAAAAGACTATTAAAGCACAAAAAAATGGTATCTAGTATGTACCTCTTAAATTTTAGGATCATTCACAATTTATCTCTCAAACTTTTAAAATGCTCACCTTACCTCTTGATTTTCAACTAATCCCACAAAACTCATTTTGTTATTGTTAAAAACAAATAGAAAAGACTGTCTTTTTCTGTTTTGTTGTAAAAAAAAAATTTAACAGAAACACCACGTTATCACGTTACCTCCATTCTCTCGTTTACTTTTAGCATAAATTTTATAAGAGTGGGTTAAAGATATTTAAAGTTCAGTAATAAAATGAGAGTTCTTGCAAAGGACAACAACAATAACATTAATAAAGGACTTTTGTAGTTTGTACATTGTTAATATACTAACAATAAGCAATTATTTATAAACTAATAATTATGACTAAATTACCAGCATAGCAATTACTTATATATTGATTATTAATTTCTGTTTTTTAATTATTTGACATAATAATTTAATATGTATGTAATTCAATTATTAATGTAGTCAATAATGATAATATATCCATTCTTATTTTTAATCTATACTTTCTTTTTTTTTCTCTTTTTTTTCACAACGATTTGTATAGACTAGTAATAAAAAGGATTATTATTACTGGTGTCCCGTGAATTTTAGAGTTATTCTCAGTTTGCCTCATGAACTTTAAAAATTTTCATTTTACCCATTAAATTTTGAATTGTTCCCACTTAATCCATTTGTTGTAATTTATGCTAAAAATATATAGGAAAAAAGAGAATAATGCAGTCAACTGGTCTTTTTATTTAAATTTTTCTTAAAAACAAACAGATAAAACCACGTGGCCACACTTAAACCCTTATTTTTCTGTATGATTTTAACAAAAACTACATAGGAGTTAAGTGAGAAATTAAAAATGATTTTAAAATTCAAAAGCTAATAATCCTAATAATAATATAGGGTTTTTTGTAGTCTGTACCTCTATTAAGCCTTGGAGCTGAAAGACTACACTCTCAGTCGTACCAGCAATCCAAACGACATTGGAATTAAAAATCCAGAGACGTTACACTTACACCTGATGAAGGTGTCATTGGAGCTTCCACTCGACGACGCGGCGACGACTTTCCGGTTGGAAACAGCCGTCTGCCACCACGACCTCTTCATGATGGCCCCGAACCAGTGGGACCCACTCTCCAAGACCTAGCTCTGCCCCCTTCGCCTTACCATCCACCACCACTCGGACCCACAACAACAACAAAACGACTCCATTTCATGGCCCACTGATGGCCCCGAACCAGTGGGACCCACTCTCCAAGACCTAGCTCTGCCCCATTCGCCTTACCATCCACCACCACTCGGACCCACAACAACAACAAAACGACTCCATTTCATGGTCCATATTTCTCAACCCCACCGCCCTAACTGCCTCCGAGTCCTCGTCCACACCGAAACTCACTCGCTCACTTCCGACAACAAACAAGCCTTGGTTGTAAGTTCTACACACACTCTCTCTCGCTCACAAAAATTTAAAATTGACATAAAGAGAGAAATAACATAATTGGTAAAAGTGATTAGTAAATTATAGCATGTTTAAAAAATTATAAATTATAGTATAATTTTTAAAAAATAGTAAATTATAGATATTTTAAGTTTTAAATATTATTAAAAACTCAAAACAATATCCCTAAACATCTTTTTCCACCTCACTTTTCACCCCTGAATATCTATTTTTTTTAAATAGTAAATTATAGCATATTTTTAAAAATTTCAAGTCCACCATGACTGGGATTAGCAGTCGGCAACCACCTCCGGCAACCGATGACCTTTTTTGGTGACTATTTTGGATAACCGTTTAGCACTGTATTTACCGGTAAATACTCAATTTATTAGTAACTATCATATTTACCTGAAAAAGCCAACCACCAGCTCTGACGGTCGTTTAACGTTGTATTATAAGTAAATACAATATTTATCAATAAGTACTGTATTTATTAGTAAATATCATACTAGGTATTTACCCAAAAATCCAGCCACCAACTCAGGTCACCGTTTAATACTGTATTTACTAGTAAATATCATATTTATCTAAAAATTCAAACACCGACTCCATTAACCGTTTAATACCGTATTTACTAATAAATACCGTATTTACAGATAAATATCATATTTACCATATTTATCTGAAAATCTGGCGACTGGTAAATTTCGTATTTACCAGTAAATATATTTACTAATACATACTATATTTATCCGAAAATCTGATGACTGGCTCCAGCGATTGATAAATACCGTAATACGGGTAAATACCATATTTGTCATATTCATCTAAAAATTTAGAGACCGGCTTTGGCCACTTACAGTATTTACTAAATCAGAAATTCGATTTAGTGAAATATTTACTGATAAATATAATATTTACCAATTTAGAAATAAAATTCAGTGAAGTATTTACTGATAAATATTATATTTACTATATTCAAACTTGAAGTATTTACAGTAAATATAACATTTGCCAGATTCAAAATTTAAAATCAGACTCGGACTTTACGGAAAACTATCACTAGTAACCAAATCACAACAAAAAAGGAACAAAAAACAAGAAATAACAAACTCATATCCAAAACTCACAAACTCATACAAAAATCAAGAAATAATGCGGAAAAATACAAAATAATGTGAATAAATATATTTACATTTATTTTTTAAACAATATTACATAAATACATTTAACATACCAAACATCCTTGATCGGGAGCAGAGCAGTGGCCGGAGGTCGCTAGCGTTGTGACGCGACCAGAGCAGCGGCTGGAGAAGGCTGGAGGTCAATAGCGTCGTGACGCGAGCAAAGGAACAACCGGAGAAGAAGGTTGATACAGATCTCGGATCGTCGATCTCCGTCGAATATCCCCGTCGCTCGAGTCGCGGCCGAGATCTGTGCAAGGAGAGAGAGAGACGTGCGGAGAAGAGAGATAGGAAAGAGAGAGAATAAGCAACGACCGAGGTGGCCGCGACTGCTCTGGTCAATCTGCGACGGATCTAGTCTGTATGCATCTTCAACGAGAAGCCCGGTTTGCGGCGTGACCAAGTCGATTCTTAAAGGCGGCAACCGAAGAGTTACAGGCTTTGGCAGCAAGGCGAAAGAACGATGTCTGACGACAGCGTTGCGAAGTGAACTGAAAACGCGAAGGGGAGCTCCGGTTGGATGTTAGATTTGGGCGGCGATGAGGAAAGTGAAGAGGCGGAGAGAGAAAAAAGAGGAGGGAGAGAGGGAATATGGAGAGAGCTGGCAGAGAGAGAAAGAGATTGGAACGGAGAAAGAAAGTGGGGTGGCTGAGTTTTGTGACCTCAAGAGAAAAAATGAAAACCCTAATGGAAGGGTAAATTTGAAAAAAATAACATTTATTTTTAGAATTAGAATTTAAAACATGCTATTATTTAATTACATTTTAAAGATATGCTATATACTTTAAATGTATTTAAAAATATGCTATTTGGTATATTTTTCCTTTAAAATTTTGTTTAAACCTATTAACTAAATGGATTAATAATGAGTTCAATGATTTTTTTGTCAAGAAAAATAAGGATCTCTGTCTTTTTTTTTTTAGAAAAATAAGTGGACCTGGGAGAAGTTTAAAAATTATATTAGATATTTTCGTATATAAATCAAGTGAGACGTATTGTGGTGTGGGGCAAAAATAGAACTTCAAAATTTTAAGTGGGATAAACTAAAAATTTAATCAGATTTTACATAGAAAGTTTAAAGGGAAAAAAAAAAGGTTTAGACAAGATGATCATCTACGCTCGACTGTATGGGGCTTTCTCTTGATTTCTTGCAACCACATACCAACTTTCACTCCACAAAAAGTTCAAAAAGACTTAAAAAAAAAAAAAAAGATATCATGCATGTACCCCTTACACTTTAAGATTATTTACGACACCTCTTAAAATTTAAAATCTCTCACCTTATCTCCTGAGTTTTCAACTAATCCCACAAAACTCATTTTGTTAGAGTTTTTGTTATTGTTAAAAACAAACAAAAAAAACTGTTGTAACAAAATTTCTAACAAAAATACCACGCAATTACGTTACTTCCATTTTTATCGTTTATTTTTAACATAAATTTTATAGGGTGAGTTAAAGACTAATTTAAAGTTAAGTAGATAAAACGAGAGTTCTTAAACAGTGTGGGCGACAAAGTAGTATTGATCTCAAGTTTCAAGGAGTAAATAATAATAATAATAATAATAAAAAAGGGCTTTTTGTAGTTTGCACCTTTCTTAAGCCTTGGAGCTAAACGACTACACTCTCAGTTGCATTAGCAATCCAAACGACATTTGAATTAAAAATCCAGAGACGTCACATTTACACCTGATGGAGGTGTCGTTGGAGCTTCCACTCGGCGACGCGGCGGCGACTTTCCGGCTGGAAACAGCCGTCTGCAGCCACGGCCTCTTCATGATGGCCCCGAACCAGTGGGACCCACTCTCCAAGACCCTCCTCCGCCCCCTTCGCCTTACCCTCCACCACCACCACTGGAACCCACAACAACAACAAGACGACTCCGTCATGGCCCGCATCTCTCAGCCCCACGACCGCCTTCACTGCCTCCGAGTCCTCGTCCACGCCGGAACTCGCTCGCTCACTTCCGACAACAAACAAGCCTTGCTTGTAAGTTCTACTCTCTCTCTCTCTCTCTCTCTCTCTCTGTTTTGTTTTGTTTTTTTTCCGAATGTTTGTATTCTAGGCCCAGGTTTCGAGGATGCTGAGGTTGTCGCAGACGGAAGAGAGGATATGCAGAGAGTTTTCCGAGGTTTATGGATGTGGGTCCGGTTTGGGAAGAGTGTTTAGGTCTCCGACTTTGTTTGAGGACATGGTCAAGTGCATTCTTCTCTGTAATTGCCAGTATGACTCTCTTGTTCGCCAAATGTTTGATGTAATGTTTGCTCTTTCTTACAAGGCTTCGAAGCTTGAGCTTTTTTTTCATGTCTTTTTTCTGTCTTTGTGTCGTTAATGTATGTCTCGTTTTAGTTGCTTGTATGGAAATGGAACTGCATTTCTACCATGCCTACAATGTGTTTGACATAATGTCTACCTTTCTTACAAAGCTTCCAAATTGAGCTTTTTTAATGTCTGTCCCTTTTTGTCTTTTTTTTTATTTTTTTATTTTTATAATATGGGCCCCTTAAACTTGTGGTACCTTGATATTTCCATCACTGATTTCTTTTTTTGGAATTTCATCCTTGAATTTCTAAAATAGTAGCAACTAACTTCGATTTTTTTTTATAGAGAGCTAGCAGCTTTGCTGTGTGAACTTTCAAAATTTTTTCCCTAAGAATTACCTTTTTAGTGATGTTAGTCTTTGAATTATGTACGAAATTCTTTAAAATTTAATTCCACTAATAGTTGGAGTTAATTGCTACTACTTTGCAAATTCAGGGACTAACTTGTAAATAAAAGCTTTAAGATCAACTATGTCAATTCAAGAAAAGTTCAGGGACACAAGTACCTGTATAGAACTGCATTCCCACCATGTCCACCGTCAGTTTGTGATGTTGTCACCCTTTTCTTGTTCTACACTCTGTCTTCTTTCTTTATAATCTTAAGTGGTGGGTGAGCTATGTAATGATAGTTCATAACTATTGGTAGGTGGCCGAGGACTCTGTCCATGGCTCAAGCGCTTTGCGATCTTCAGCGGGAGCTGCAACTACAATCTGTACCTTCTAAGACTGTCGATTTTGTTCCAAAAACACCTGCAGGGAAAGAACCCAAGAGAAAGGTCGAAAAATTGAAAGCGTCTACCTGTTTGACTTCCCAGTTTGATGCACAAAGCAACGAAGGGCTGGAATCACATTCCAATGACTTGTCCATCGACATATCTCAACCTACTCCAAGTGCTCAGAATTTGAGCCCCTCGAGCTTACTTTCTGTTCCTATGGAAAATGTTACGTGCGAGGAATCTTATGGAGTTGATTCGGCTTCTCTCTGCAATCCTCAGATTTTAAGGGACCGTGAATTTGAAGGGACTGGGGATTTTCCTACTCCAACTGAACTTGCAAAGCTTGATGAGAAGTTCCTAGCTAAGCGCTGCAAACTTGGGTATAGAGCCGGTAGGATACTGAAGCTGGCTCGGGGCATTGTAGAGGGAAGAATTCAACTAAGAGAATTGGAAGAAACTTGCATGGAAAGAAGCTTATGCAGCTACAGTAAGTTGGCTGTACAGCTGAGACAAATTGATGGATTTGGTCCTTTTACGTGTGCCAATGTACTCATGTGCATGGGATTTTACCACGTTATTCCATCCGACTCCGAAACCATCAGGCATTTACAACAGGTTCGCCTTCTTTCTGCCCTTTCATTTCTTCGTCTCTGTTGTTGTGACGGATGTCATGTCTCATGCATGGAAGCATTTCTGAGCAAGAAGCTATTCTAAGGCTAAGTTCAGATTTGGGAGAGAGAAAATTGGAAGGAGAAACAGGTAAATAACCTAGGTGAGAAAAATAGAGTGAAAGGGAGAACATATTTGTCATTGTATTTGGTTTGGATTCCTTCTCTAATCTTTCAATACGGAGAAATTGAAATTGGGATTAATTGAAGGATTTGAATCCCTCCCAAAGTACGTTCTCTCCGCTTTTCTCTCCAACCAAACAACCATTGGTCCCGAAATCTTTTAGTAATCCCCTCACCCCCCTCCTACCAAACGAGCTCCGAAGTGTCGAAGATATAGCGCTTAACGGGTGCCAACCTTTTCATATCTAATGCAGGTTCATGGTAGAAACTCTACCGTTCGAACGATCGAGAGAGATGTTCAACAAATTTATGCAAAGTATGAGCCATTTCAGTTCTTGGCGTATTGGTAATAATACTCTCTCGAACACTTTATACACGAGGCTTTTTGGTTTGTATACTATTATTATTAGGGAGAAAGAAGAAAATAGGCCAAAACTTGAAATGAATTAAAATTAATAAGTTAATAATTTACATAAATTAATAAATAGGTCAAATTACTGTTTTTGTCCATAATTTATCTGGTTATGAACCATAACTTGATAAGTTATTGTCCATAACTTATCTGATTATGAACCATAACTTAACAAGTTATGGCCTATTAATTTCTATAACTAAAAATTGACCTATATACTTTCTTAAGCTTTTTATATCAGCTTATTTCCTACCATTTTCGTTATTATTATTATTATTATTATTATTACTACTTGTGCTTTCTTCTTTGAAATTGTTTGCTTGACCAGGTCAGAGCTGTGGCACTTCTATGAGAAAAAGTTCGGCAAGATTAGTGAAATGCCTTGTTCTGCATATAAACTTTTCACTGCTTCTAACATGAAAACTAAGGCAGAACGTCCAAATAATAGGAAGAAGACAGCTGATAAGCCTCCTATCCGTTTTACTTACGCAAGGCGTGCCAAGCACGTGACCTAGATTATGTGTGATCTAGTGCAGGGTCTTTTGGTGGGGCAATTATGGGAATGTGTGTTGTCGTTAGGAATTTATTAGGGCGCGTTTAGTTCATTGATTTAAATTTTTAATTTGAGTTAAGATGTAACTTATGTGAGTTTTTTACTGTAGTAAAAAAATTAAATGTGATTGTTTTTAAGAGTTTTTTACTGTAACAAAATTCAAATTCTAAACTTAAATCGGTGAAATGAACATAACCTTAAATTTTTTCATTGTCAGCATACGAGGTAATGGGGAAGAAGAGAGTCGGGGAATTGTTTAGAGATATTTTCTCAGTGGGTGAGAGTTGAGCCTCTGGAATGCTCAACAATTATCAATTTATGTAGTTTTCTTTTATTTCAGTCTACATTCATTAATACAAACCAATTCGATTCTTCCCAAATTCTGGTATCTTATCAACAGCTTGAAGCTTAGGTTATGTTTCGGTGGGAAACCGTTCGTTTCATTCGTTCAAGTTGAGAACTTGAGTTGAAAAGTGATTTCGTGGAAGAGAAACACTAGCAGAAAAAGTTAAATTTAAATTTTTGTGAAAGAAAATATTATAATAAAAACTTAAGTTGTGATTCAAATTAAAGAAACAAACGAGAAAAATAGGTTGGATGAAAAAATAATTAGGGGCGACTTAAAATTTAAAACGATGGAAATGGTAATGATTTTCCTTTACATTGTTGGTATAATGTGATGGAAAGAAAAACTGCCTTCCTCGATTGGTATGTGAAGTAAACTTTTGTAACTTTCTTTGGGAGAAGTTTGTAATTTTCAATTTTGCATTACTTTGTTTTCTCTCCTAAACTAACATATGTATGATCTTGGAGGAATTCTATAAAGTTAAAACTCTCACAAGTATTTTTCTTCGTCCTATTTTCCTCTTTCCTCCTCATCTCCCACCACCCAAACAAAGTAATTCCTGTTTAATGAAGTAACAAGCGTGCCCCCACATATCCAAATTCCAAACATCAAACACAAAAGTGTGAAGTATCCAAACATTCATGTTTATAGTTGCAACGTATAACAAAAGCCGTGTTTAGAATTAATCCCGTTTTTATTTTTCACGTTTTTCAAGAAAAAAAATAAAAACGTTTCTAAAACGACATTTGACGTAATAAAGATAAAAAAGAGAAATGAAAACGATTTTTTAATTTAGTATAAAATGAGAGAAAAATGAAAAACGATTTTTAATCGTTTTTCATTTTTTGTTTTCGTTTTCTCCTCTCTCAAGTAGAGAGAGAGAGAGAGACATTAATGAATTTGTTTATACTGAAAACAATCTCTTAATAAAATTAATAAACGCATTTTCAAAAATTATTTATGTCTGAGATTAAAAACATTTTCATTTTCATTTTCATACAAAAAATAAAATCATTTTGAAACGAATTCCAAACACACCTATAGTTTCCTTGCCAGTAGAAGTAACAGTATCTTAACATCAATATACGTTCGGCACATGCCAAGTATCTTATTAGTATCAGACACCAAAATTCTGAGTCCGAGTACCAACTAGTAGCTATTTTAAAGGATCATATTGAAAAACATCAATATCAAACAGACACAGGAACAAGTATTTTTGCCACATAACCACCACAAAGCACTGCTTTACTGGTTATCTGAGTTTCATTTCACGCCAGCAGTCTACTGATTTGCAATATAAACAAAAACTTCAACAGACACGACGGAAAATACAAGACGCGAGACTTACTAATCCTGCTAGTTAAATTTCTAGCCATGACAGAATAGAGAGATAATAGGTGCCCGGCTAATCTACCACTGGGCTTCAAAACAAGACAATATCTAGCTGACCGCAAGAAAGGAAGAACGTGTTACAGAAGGATGTCAAAAACAGTGAAACATTGCAAAAGAAGGCAGTCAAAAAGAGTGGATCATTGACACAAAGGGCAGTCATTCAAACATGATCGTTGAAAAAAAAGCGGGAAAACTAATATCAGCTTTAATGCAAGGATTAGCCATGCAACCTTGAACCAAATTCTTTACTGTGCTGATCATATTGTGAATAAAGAAATCCATGTATGCACTACAATGTTTGCAAAACAAGAGTTTCTATAGTTTACATAAGTAGGATGAAGAAAGTCATCGGTACAATAATTTCAACAACCGAACAAATCAAATGTAGCAAATAAAGTTCTCTTCCTCTTCCTACATTCCGTGAGGCAAAATACATCAACCCACTAAAAGTTCAAGACACCGATTTAGTTTTTATGTGAAAAGAAAACACCTTCAATCTGAAGGGAAAAACCACAAATTTAACTTGAAATTTAAGCCCAAAAGGTGTTAACAATTACAAAATAACAGTGAGTAAAAGGAGAAAGCTGCAATCCAAAAGGATAGACTTTATAGTTCAGACCGTTGCAAACAACATACTTAAGCGACAATCAGACTGTTGCAAGAATGCTATAATGGTGAAAGATCTTAACCAACAAGAGCTTTGTACTGACAGGATGCTGGGGCTAAGCCTTGTGCATCTGTGGTTGCACCTTTGATTCTTTTCTATGTTATTGATGAAATTTCCATATAATGTTGGAAATAATTAGATCTATGTTTCAAACACTTCACTGTTTCATTCCTTCTATTTGGCGAGGCCCTTACTTCAACTCTTTCAGTTCGAGTCCACTCTTTGGCTGACTTGTTAATGATCATCTTGCTTTAAAGAGGGAATTGTCTAACCCCATTAAATTTCATTAGTATAAGATGTAAAACCTGTCGCTTTTCCCTTTTGAGGGATTTTCCACAAAATTGGTGCCTTCATTTTTTATTCTTTTTCCATTGTTTTCTCTCTGAACTATGCACCGGGGGGTTTCATAACAACATCGAATTCTACACCTTCCCCAAAGCGCTTCATGAGTTTTGAAGCAAAAATACAAAAACAAGAAGGCACGCAGCTAAACAGAATAAAGAACTTTAAATACATAATAGCACAAAGTAAAGCTTCAAACTTTTAAGGTGATTACATTATTGCATTTGTTTTTATATGAACCGCTATATCACTGCATCATCATCACAACATTCATATTTTCTTAAAGAGAAGACTCAAAACACAATTAGAAACCAATCCCACATACACAATAACCAAACTTTATCACAGATCATAATCCACAAAAACCATTTCGAAATCTAATCATATAAATCAAAGCCTTAAAAATTTCTTTATCCAGCTATACCATTTCCATTAGACATTCATTCTTCTACCAAAAATTCTGAACTAGGCAGCGATAGGATTCACACTAAACTTTCATATCATTAATCATAATCCACAAATTCTCAGCGCAGAAATCAAAGCCCTAGATATCTGAATTCAGCTATAACATTAGAGACTCTCCAACGATTCATAATCAAAATCAAGTACTATGCGAAAAAACACAAAAGCTGTAGAGCAAAACATGGAGTTCAACTGAGATAAGCCGGAATCTTGATGCGAATGAAGAGCATACTCATGAGATAGGCGATGACGACGGACGAAATTCCGGCGGAGGCGTAGGAGACCTTGACGCTCTTGGCGCGGTTGCGATCGAGGGCGAGGTCCAAGAGCACGATCCCTAATCCGCCGAGGACGAACATGAAGCCGGAGGACAAGCCCTCGATGATGTACTGGCCGTTGACGCGGCCGGGGAGGAAGACGACGGGACGGACGGCGCCGGTGAGGCGGTCCTGGGTGGAGCCGATGCCGGGAGGCTCGACGATGACGTCGTAGACGATGCCGGAGACGACCATGAAGTAGGTGAGGAGGACGAGGGAGAAGACGGTCATCGGGGATGGGAGGGTTAGGGTTGGAAGCTTCAGGCGGAGGCGCGGCGGACGGAGGAAGCTGAACGGGAGGACGCGGAGGAGATGGAAGAGTGGATCGACGGAGGAGGATGAGGAGGAGTCGCCAGCGGCGGAGAACGTCGCCGGATTTTGGGTTTCCGGTTTCGGAGCCATTGTTAGTTTGGTTCGATACTCTCTCGGGGTTTGTGATCCGAGTGAATGGATCTGGGGTGAACTAGCACCACTAACATTAATGTGTCTTTGAGTTAGGACTTCGGACAAGGGTTAATTTCAATATTCACTATTAAAAAATATATTTCAAACACAATAGGGGTTAATCAATTTATTTAAAGGTCTTTCTCTAATAGATCGGAATAAGGTCAATTTTTAATCGTTAAATATAGTTAAAATCGTGAATGGATCTGGGGTGAACTAGCACCACTAACATTAATGTGTCTTTGAGTTAGGACTTCGGACAAGGGTTAATTTCAATATTCACTGTTAAAAAATATATTTCAAACACAATAGGGGTTAATCAATTTATTTAAAGGTCTTTCTCTAATAGATCGGAATAACAGTAAGGTCAATTTTTAATCGTTAAATATGGTTAAAATCACATTAGATTGAGAATATATACTTATATAATTTTAAAGATTAAAAAATAAAAAATTATTAATAGTTCATTTTTTTTTATCTTACTAGAGAAACTCTCTTAATGCTATAAATAGTCTCTAAATTTTATTCTCAATCTCACTATAATCTCTAACTTCTTAAAAATCTCTACCCGAACATTTGTTTGTTTTAGTCCTAGTCATTTTGATCAATTGGGCCTCGTTCACTCCGCGGATTCGAGTTTTCAATTTGAGCTGAGATGTGACATTTTTTTAGAGCTTTTCACTATAGCAGAAAAAGTTAGATGTGACATTTTCTGAGAATTTTTTACTGTAGAAACTTAAAATTGAAAACTTGAATCGGTGAAATGAACGAGGCTTGAGTGAAAAAAAATATGAATGACATTCAATTAATGGTTTTTTTTTTTTTAATTTTTATGTTGGAATCAAGAGCATATGCTGCGTTCTATCAGTAGAAGGCTATTTTTTGTCAGCTGTTAGCGAAAAGTATATATTATGTTCTCTTTTAAATGTAAGAATTAACACTTAAACAAACTCGTAAATCAGAATTAAATTTGAAAATGTTTTAAAAGTTAAAAACCAAAATAAGCTTATGGATAAATTTTGAGGACCTCTGTGAAACTAATCTAAAAAAAATAATATTTTTTAGAACGTTTTCTTTAGTAAGACTGTCACGTTAAATGAATTTCTCATAAAGAGGGAAAAAAAAAAAATTTTAGATGAAACTACTTGACTTTTGTGCCTTTAAAGTTTTCATCATCTAAAACTACTACTTTTGATAATTTTCTCCTCAACCTCTCACTCTTTATTTGAACTCCTCTCTCTCCATTTTAACTCTCATTTTATAAAATTTAGAGTAAATTCGTGAATAATCCCTAAACTTTTCTCACTCTAAATTTAGTCCATGTTATTAACTTTGTATTATAAACAGTTCTTAAACTCAAAAAGAATATCATAAATAGTCCTTCTCATACCATATTAATAAATGTTCTCGTAGTATTATTGTATGATAATAATTACTTTAAAGATGTATATTTTCATAATTATCTTTTGTATTATACCCATTTTAATTCTTTTATCTCTCAATCAGTCACTTTATTTTTTTATTTTCTTATTAAAAACAAATTTTTAGAAAAAAATAAAATTACGAATTAATTTAATTCGAAACTAAACGATGAGACTCAACACATTCAAAATTCAACTAAGAAGACAATACCCTATATCTTAACCATTCATCAGAATCTTTCACACTAAATTAAGGGAAAAGGGTTCCTTAAAAAAAAAGAGTAAAAGCAATTAACTGAAAACTACAATCCACAATACAAGTGTATCACACGATTATTTCATAATATTTTTTTATCTACTATAACAAAAAATAAAAAATATAACAAAAAAATATATATCACGTGTTTTGCTTTAGTTTAGGTCCCGTTCATTTCGCTGATTCGAGTTTAGAATTCGAGTTTTGCTACAGTAAAAAACTCTCATAAACAGTCACATCTAACTTTTTTGCTACAGTAAAAAACTCTAACAGAAAGTCACATCTCAATTCAAATTAAAAACTTGAATCAACGAACTAAACATACCCTTAGAGACTCAATTTGGTACAACTTTCATATTTAATTTTTTTTTTACACCCATTTATTTAAAAACGAAGTAATCTTGACATATTCTTTTTCTTTTTAAGTTTAGGGATTAAATTTAATAAAAAAAATAATATAAGGACTTTTTATGAGATAAAATTAACAATTTCGATCTAAAATTAATAGAAAGATTATTTATGAGAAATTTTTTAAGTTCAAAAACTATTTATAAAATAAAATGGACTATATAGACTAATTATAAAAAAAGAAAAAAAATGTAGGGACCATTGAATTAGAGTTGATTCAGGAAAAAAGGGTTTTTCAAAATTCGAGGCACCTGTCGATTTAGAATTGATTCAGGAGAAAAGGCTTTTCAAACTTCGAGGCACGTGTTGAATTAGAATTGATTCCCAGGGGGGCGGGGGTTTGTATTCTTGGGTTTACCCATCAAATCCATCAAATCTGAGATTCAAACCTTGGATTAGTTTTGGCAGCCAAAATAAGTTTAAAGACTAATCAACCTAAAACAAAAGTTTAAGAATCAAACGTCAAATACAAATAATTCAAGGCTCACAAACCATAAACTCTTGCATATTTTTAATTAATGCTAAGAGTTCGTTTGTTTCATGTACTCAAATTTAAATAAATAATTCTGTTACAGTGTAACGTTCTTTATAAAATTTAAATTTTAAACGTCAAAATCAAGAATTATAAATTTTATTATACCTCTCAAACAGGCTCTAAGGCTTTTTTTGTGATCCCTCCCTGTTTTTGTGGATAAAATTTCCTCCATCATAAAAGGTTAAATAATATTAGTGTAACGGGTAAATGATTAGTATAATTCTCTTATATTAAGTCGTAACAGTTACTATTTTGAGAATCAGAAGTCATTTTTTAGCATATGACAAATAAAACAATCATGTACAGCTCTAAACAAATGTTCATGCATGACTAAATGTGCCTATAAGAAAAGACATGACAGATATAATTATTTACGACAAAATTATTTAAGTTTAAAATGACAGTAAACTACGATGGAATGATTGAAATTAACAGTAAAAATGACAATCGTTTATTGATGCACCTTTTAATATTTCTCATATAATTATTCACAATAAGTGTATATGACAATCGTTTATTGCTATATGTTTAAAAATGACTTTAAGTTTCTAACATAATAACTGTTACGACTAAATATAAGAAAATTTTGTTAAATTTTTAACCAGTTACCGTTGACATATGAACATGTTATGATGGCACGTGGAACATGTTATGATGGCACATGGAAGACTTATCCTCCGTTTCAAAATGGCTGATTATAGACAACTCCAACTTTTTATCGTTTCCTTGTAAAGTCGTAACGTTTCTACGATTGAAGATTTCACTCAATACTATTACACAACTTTTATCAATGTATATATACTAACACCCTAGCTTGATATACATACATATATATATATATATATATATCCCGAACGAGATGCAACTTTTATCATTTGGCTCTCATGTGATGCAAGTTTGTTCTTCAACTCCACTACTACTTCGTCATTCTCACTTTGTGCACCACAAGAGCGAGAAGCTCCTTTTAGAATTTTCCCCCATCCTCGGATATATCCCGAACGAGGCTTCCGAACCTTTTAAACAATGTCTTTTTCTGTGAGAGGAACATAATAAGTATCGCCGTTTGATACTGCATCTGAAGATTGCTGAGTCTGCAAATCTCTAAGAGCCAACATTTTATTTTGCAAAAAAAAAAAAAAAATTTGCTGAGGCAGGTTTTTGGGACTCCTATCAAGGAAACAAAAAAAAGTTTGTACGAAAAATACTAAATCCATCTGATTCCATTTTCTTTTGTTTTTGGGAACAAAAATAAAATAAAATAAAAAGTCTATTGCCACTCTAGTGGAGTGAACTTTTTTTTTTTTTTTTTTTGCCATTTTTGCTAAATGTGATCTTCATTCACACGCGAAAACAGGGCCCAGGGGCCTGCAGCAACACAAACAGACAAGAGCTACACCAAGTGAATACTGAAAAAATGACTAGTGAAACTAAACGTGTGTTCGTGTCCAAAAGCTGAGTCATTCGACGGCCTACTAAGCGTCATCTTTATACTAAAAAAAGTGATCATCACAATTTTCACAATCAGGCCTAAGTATGCCAAAAGGGAATAGAACGATTAAATAAGAGCCACAGCCCAATTGAGTTAATAAAAAAGGCATCAAATAGAGAAGTAGTAATGAAACAATAGCATCAACTGATCAGAGCCACAGTCCAATTGATCAAACTATTCAGGATTTGTTGATCCTCTTGGAATTTCAGTCGAATGCATCCATAGGATCTTCATCATTATCATTTTCCACATGGACATAGCTAGACCTAGTAATATCGTGCAATAGATCATAACAATCATCATTTACCTCAGCATTATCCGTTTGGTACCTAAATTCGTTCTCTGATTCGAATCATGGTTCGTGGTTCACTACAGTATTTTTTCTCACAAAAAATACATGTAAATCAAAAATAATTCTAATCACATGATTTGAATTCATGAACTAAACAAAAATAGTTCTAATCACACGTGAAAACAATTTCACCATGCAAAATCTAAGTCTCTCTTTTATATATTTCTTGCATCCCTCTATCGATCAAATGAGCTTGAACTATTCTTATCGGATACCAATATACATTACCACAATCACGACATGGGCATCTAATATCCCCTTTTGCATTAGTTGAATTTTAAGCTCTTTGGATAAACTCTCGAACCCAACCCCAGTTATGTACTCCGAACACAATCGATTAGGCAATGATATCCAACTCTTGTCTATAGACATTTTTGACCAACTAAAAGAACATAAAAAATATTAAAGTCACTAAAAGTATTGAGAGTTATATGTAAATCAAGCAAAAAACATGAAAACTACACATTTAATATTATTATATATGATTTTTTTAATATTCATTTTTAATTATTAGAAAAGACTAGGTAACGAAAAAAATAATAACAAGAACAACGACAGCAACAACAATGACAATAATAATAATAAGAATAATAATCATAAGA